ATGATTGTGTGTAGTCTGAATCACGGAACCCGGTGTTAGAGATACTGAAGGAGATCATATGTTTTCCAGATGTCTTCTAGCCAGAAAGAAGTTAATTCCTTTCTTTCAGCTTCTGGTAATCATAGGCAGGGTAAAGAAAGCTAGAGGAAATTATTTGTATGAGACAATTCTGGAAGTTGCAAAATGCACTCTGAAATCTTTCTCTTGATTTCAAACTAATTGCCCAGATCAGAAACATTCATCTCAGAACCAGACCTGAAAGCCTCTGAATTGTTAATCTCTTTGCCATCTCTTATTGTGAATTACATTCTTGGTCTGTTTAAAGTGATTCCTTTTCTCCCCCTTTCTCTTTGGTCCTGGTATTGACTACTTTAATCCGATATTTCATGGGTTACTATCACAGTTGTTTTGTTTTGTTATTGTTATTGTTGTTTTTAAGTGGTCTCCCTCTCTCCAGGACTTAACTCTAAAATCCATTCTGTACACAACTTTTAGGTCTCCTGTCTTATATATCAAAGCTGAAAAAGCCTAAGTGATAATGTCATGAGTTACTTAGGCAGTTAGTATTCCATTAGGTAATATCGCTTCTTTGGCTTCATTCTCCTCACAGGAAAAGGAAGAAACTGGACTAGATCAGTGGATTCTAAGCCTTATAACATACCACAGTAATCTGTAGTCATATAAAAATGTCTGATGACTCCCCCCTTCCTCACCCTGAATAGCTCAATCTTAAATATCCTGCAGGCATTTATTGCCATTTGAAAATCTGCAGATAATTCTTATGAAATTGACCTGGCATAGGTTTGTCTGCAGATTAGTGTTATTAGGAAGGTTGGTCAGTTAGTCAACTCTCTCTGCTTACTTGCTAGTGATCTATTAATGTAATTAACTTTGCTCAGGGGCATATAGTGGCACCTTATTTCCTTTCTTAAAAAAACTGAACTTTCAGACGAGTTTTTGTACCTTCTGAAACATGTGTATTCATTTTCTCCATTAATCCATGTAAAGCATGATTTCAGCTTCATAACAAAATTGCTGCATTTACTTCACTCATGTTTTCTTGTTTTGAGTTTCTTTATTCCTTTGATTCTCCCTATAGAACAATTCTATCCGCGGTTTATGTCTCACCTCACAACACTTAACTTAAGCTCCAGAATCAAGGATCATTAGATAATAGGTAGGAGAAATTGAAAGCCATTAGTCATAAACAAGTCACGGTCTGATAATTATAAACAACAGAGTGTAGACAGCTATTGTTACCTTAAACTCCTGAGGAATTGTATCCTATAATGTGTTTAAGCATTACATCACTTTACCTGGAACCAAAACTCTGGTCCTGGTGAGTTTTTTCCTCTAATCCATTCCTTCCATTTTTATTATCACTGCAGCTTTCATACAGTAATTATAATAAAAACAAAAATAATCTATAATGACAGTCTTTTTGAAAAATACTTACCATACAATAGCTATTTCATGCACCTTCTCTGATTTAATATTTAAAACCAATCAATACAGTTGTGTTATTGCCATATTATAATTGAAGGGGATACTTAGAGAATGCCATCAAAATATGCTTTAGGTCAAAAGTCTGTTGAGAGTAGTGATCTCAGCTTGGCATGACTCTCAAATTCTGCCATTACTCTACCTGTCTGCAAACATCTTCAAATACTTGCCCTGTCTCTGATCACTCCCACTTCAGTCCTGGCTTCACATTTCTATTCCTTCTAAAGCTCAGCTCTCCCAGTTTTATGGTTACATCAGACACCCTCAAGCCTTTGTGCTTCTTCTCACACTACTCTCTGCCAGGAGACCAGTCCCCAGTTGTCCAAGGGACAAATTCCTTCTATCCTTCCAGATTCAGTGCCATGCCCTCTTCTCTGGAGAGCTATCTTCCACCTGAGACACAGTTTACTTACGCTTTTCTTTAGCATCTCATTATTTATATTCTTATGTTTCATTTTACTTATTTGTATATCTATCCACTTGACTGCAAGCTTTAAAGTGTACGAACATGTTTCCAAAATGGTATCCCCAACACAAGCAGAGTAAGTTTTAAGAATTAATGATCATCAAATATTCCTGAATGGGGCCAGGTGCAACGGCTCACGCCTGTAATCACAGCAGTTTGGGAGGGCATGGTGGGTGGATCACCTGAGTTCAGACATTCGAGACTAGCCTGGCCAACATGGTGAAACCCTGTCTCTACTAAAAATACAAAAAAAATTAGCCAGGCATGGTGGTTCATGCCTGTAATCCCAGCTACTCAGGAGGCCGAGGCAGCGGAATTGCTTGAACCCGGGAGGTGGAGGTTGCAGTGAGCCGAGATTGCGCCATTGCACTCCAGCCTGGACAACATGAGAGAAACTCCATCTCAAAAAATGGATAGGGGAATGAACATGCCTTCCTTCTGTTTGAAACTTCCAACACGCACTTATCATTTTTAAATGAGATCAAACTTACCTGGTTTGCTATTAAGAATTTGTTACCGCACAATTGGTTCACTTTGTCCACTGCTTAGACAGAGCTGATTTATCAAGACAGGGGAATTGCAATGGCGAAAGAGTAATTGACTCAGAGCCGGCTGTGTGGGAGATCAGAGTTTTATTATTACTTAAATCAGTCTCCCCTAGAATTCAGCTCTTCGCCTAGAGCACAGGAAGTAAAGCTGGTGGCCCACATGTTAAAAGGTGGACGTTTTTGTAACCCCGGGTTCTTATTCTCCAAAGATAAAAAGGTAATAACACAAGAAAATTTTTGTTAAAGAAATTGAAAAACGTGAATTACTGTCTGCATTTTGTTATTAGTCTATCTTGCATCAAAGAGGTTCATAAAATAAATTGGCCACATTGAGTTTATTTCTGGAGTAATCATTTGAATATGTGCTTGCAAAGACAGAGACCTCTTCTGTCCTTCCATGGCTACTCTCTCTATAGTTTTCATGACTCCTAAAATATTTTGTCTTCCATTTCTTCGATTAATTTCTTATTCTTCTCATCACTTACCATATTTGCACATTCTGAATATTCTAGTTACATATTACACACCAGGATTTGCACATTCTGAATATTCCAGTTGCATATTACATACCAGGCTTCATGTTTGTCTTCCTCTCTTGTATGTGAAAGCAAGGAGGAAATGACCATAATGACTGAACCGCTGGCTCCTAGAACTACATCGTCGCTATATATTTGTTAAGTGAATGACTAGATGCACTGCTTGAGGAGTCTACAAAGGATAAATTTAGCTGGATAATCTGCAAATAATTATCTTTGATTTTTTTCTAATATTAAATATTTGTGTTAATTACAGTAATATCACTCATTATCTGCTTGCATTTTTTATATTTTCTTTCAATGCTCAAAACTGTGTAGGTATGTACTATTGTTAAAATTATTTCACAAACAGAGCAACCAATGCATAGGGAAGTTCAATTTCTTGCCCACAAAATGAAGTTTAACATGCTAAGTTCAACATTCTGAGTCCAGAGACTATGCTCTGGGCCTCCATGGTGCAATGTCCCTCAACAGAAAGCCAGCCAGGATGGGTGGGTGGCTCACACCTGTAATCCCAGCACTTTGGGAGGCCAAGGTGGGTGAATTGCTTGAGTGCATGATATAAAAAACAGCCTAGGAAACATAGGGAGACCCTGTCTTTAGAAAGATACAAATATTATCCAGCCATGGTCGCATGTGCCTGTGTTCCCAGCTACTTGAGAGGCAGAGCTGAGAGGTTCATCTGAGTCCGGGGAGTGAAGGCTGCTGTGAGCCACGTTAAAGCCACTGCACTCCAGCCTGGGTGGCAGAATAAAATTCCGTATCAGAAAAAAAAAAAAAAAAAAACCCTCTGAAAAAGGACTTTAAACAAGAAAAGCTTTAATTTTTGTGAAAAATGTGTTTATTTCTTAAAGTAAAATTCCTTCACAGGGACATAGGTTTCCCACGACTTTCCCAGACTGTGAAATGGGCCCAGAGAGCAGTGGCTCAAATTCTCTAAAGGTTGTGCTACTTTTCTCCATCAAGTTTTCTAATGAATGAGAAACTCTTCCCTGTATGAGTTTAACTGTACACATACTTTGTCATTCTTGTCTTATTCTCCAAGCCCCATTCCCCTCCTACCCTTACCTGTTCCAAGGGCTGGTGAAGAAATTTTCCCAAAGATACACTCTCTGATGCAGTCTACAGCTCAAGAATCTGATTCTTTCTCTGCTGTGGGGGGGGAAAAAAAAAAAAAGACATGCATATGCATGTGCAGTGGTTGTTTCCCAATATGTTTACATGCCTTGCCAAAAAGGTGTAAAAGGAAGGTAAAAAGAAAGGTGAAGCATGCTTTCAGTTTCAACCACACGAGAAGGGTAGGAGAGAAAAGCCGTGGCCGGGTGAGTCTTTTACTGTCCCAAGAACAGGTCCCTGGGAAGAAAGAGTTTTGGAAGGCGCTGGCTCTTCTGAAAGCCACAATTAGTATCTGTGGAATTTTTGGTGAGCAGAAGTGAGGGAGAGGGTGGAGAGGGATGAGAGAAGAAACTAGAAGATGCTTGCAGTCTTTAGAAACAGAAAGGCAAGTACAGAAAGGAACTGTGGCTTTAGAAGTAGCCTGCTGTCATTTTGCAATCTTAAACTCTTACTTACCTGTTGAAAGTCTGACCGAGGGTACAGAATTGGCACAGGAGGAGTACTAGCAGCAGTGGTTCCTAAATGAAATGGGCTATTTCTGTTTTATTACTTTATTGATCATTACTTTATTAATCAGAGTTAAATAAACATGTGACATAAGAGGATGATCTTCACTTTCCAGGGACTAATGTGGAAATGGTAAGCTCAGTCTTCAAGCCACTCCATGCACATGTATGGGGACTATTGAGGGAAACAAGGACAGTGGTACAGTAAAAAAAGGGATTACGCAACTGTGAGGAGGGGAACATTTCACTGATGAAATCTAAATGAGGTCGCTTTCTGTTGATGACATGAGAGGACTATGAGGCTGTTTTCATGATGTGACAAATCTTTGTGCTCCAAACAGACAAGGTCCTGACGGAGAAGAGAAAGCTGTTAATCCGTTCTTTGGATGAAGGTACAATAAATGGCTTACTGGGTGAATTATTCGAGACAAGGGTGCTGAATCAGGAAGAGATAGAGATAGTAAAATGTAAAAATGCTACAGTTATGGATAAGACCCGAGCTTTGCTTGACTCTGTTATTCTGAAAGGGGCTCCGGCATGCCAAATTTGTGTCACATACATTTATGAAGAAGGCAGTCACCTGGCAGGGACACTGCGACTCTCAGCAGGTAAGGGTCAGTGACTCACACTCAAGTTCACCTAGGGCCTGTCATTGTGACTACCATGTGATGTCTTTACTAGTCATGCATGTTAAGTTGCAGAAAACTTTCGTATCTCCACCTTCAGGCAATATTTCTGTAGCAGGGCCCTATTGCATGTCCCTTGACTCTCCTTTGTTTCTGTTCCTTCATCCTCAGTGGCCCACTTCTGATTAGAGCTCATTTCCTGTTTTGAGTATGTGGTAGCTAATTTCCTGAAGGTCATGAGAATTATCTAAAAAGCTTCACACTGTATGTTCCACTGTTATTGGCGAGGCACCATATTTATTGATTGATTTAATGTTTTTGAGTCCTGGGTGTACCCAGGCACTTATATAGTTGTCTGACATGAAGTTTTAAGGTCTGTAATTAAATATGTTTTATAACTTCTCTCCAAAATTTTGCCCTCCAGGAAGAATAAATTATATTTCAAAAGTGGCTATATACTCACAGAATACATTGAATGATTACGGAAAAGTAAGGATTTCAAGTTGGCTCTTTCCTCCAGTTGCCTCCTTGCATTTTCTTTTGAGTAACATCACCCACTTGCCTGTCATCAGGCTGGGGATCATGCTGTGAGCCCTGGACTGCCTCCATTTGCGGCCCCCTTAGGGCCCAATACAGTGCACAGGAAATGAGCTGGCCCATTCTGGTGATCCCTTGGACCTACCACATGGTGAGGATGAGAGTTCTGGTGGACTCCTAATCACTGGTCTCTGTGGTACTTTCCAAAGTCACTTCAGAGGCAGATGTTCTTTCAAAGTAAAAGCCTTTTTGTTTTGTTTTGTTTTGTTTTCTAAGGGTTGGGGGAAGCTTATCCCTGTCTAAGCAGATAAGGGACAAGTTTATGTTTTCATCTATGTGTGATAAATGTAATATTTTTCTGACAATGCCTCTTTCATTTTATACCCCCGACCAGTCTCTAAATTAAAGAACATGTTGAACATTATTGAATGTCATTCAGTCAGGGTTGTGGGAGGAATCCTTAGTGGGGAGTGTTGTAAGCATTAGGGTAAAGTTTTTCAGAGGTACTAAGTGACTATTTCAATATTCTTCTCTTTCTAGGTCCAACATCTGGAAATCACCTTACTACAGAAGATTCTCAACTAGTACTTCCTTCCTAGTTAATGCTGTTTTTAAAGAAAGAGCATTATTTGAACCCCGGCTTCCGTGACATTAATGTTGTAGGATGAACCACAGTTAAAGGGGCTATGGAGAATTCCACAGAGTGATCAGGTAATTTTCTTTTTGTAATCTATTCTGATTTTGTAGCAACTGTTCAAACAGCTTCACTATCTATGTTTACATCAAAATTTGGAACCTGTATCTCAAATCCTGATTACCCAAATAAGTATCAAACTTCATTATTTAAGCCTACTGGAACATTCCCTCACATCTCCCAGAGACAAACTTATCTAACCAATATCAGAGCTGAACACGCCATTCTTCCCCACCCTGCTTCTCGTCCAGTTTTGTGTCACTCGGTTGTTGGTGTCACCATCACCAGTTGTCCATACCAGGAACTTGAAACTCATCTTGGCCCCTTTCCTCTCATGCACCTCCAATATTCAAGCCACAGCCAAGTTTTATGCATTTTTTTCTCAAATTTGGAACTGTCTATTTCTTCTTCCATTTCATTAAAAACCCCTATTCATCAAGGGACTTCTTAAAATAAAAGAAACATATTTAAAAGCAATTTAGAGGCAAGAAATGCTAATTTTTTCTACCAAGTTCAAGTTTTACTCTATTGAATTTATTAAGGTTGATTAACTCTTGAATGTTTTCTTAAATGTTTTACAGCATGCGACACTCACTATATAAACAAATACTGTATTTTCACTAAGAAAAATTACCCCAAACATAACCCATATACCTCTATTTAGTTTTTTATGTTGTGTTCATTCTTCTTTCTGAAGAAACCAAACATTTATTCTATCAAATTATTATTTTATAGTTTTCTCCAATATATCCATTCTAATTAGTTCTTCCCCAAGTCAACACACTTCATGCTGCCTTTATTTATCTAACTAATTGTATAGCAGTTTCTCAAACTTGTTTTCAAAATTAAATATTATTTTCTTGACATAATAGTTTCTAAAAGATACCCCACAAATCTAGAAAACTCATTTATATCTTGAAACAAAGATTACATTAAGTTCTTTAACAAGTATATCACATTGTTGGATGGTGTTGTACTTGTGATGAAATAAAAGCCTCAAGGATTTTCTCACATAAACTCTGTGAAAACATTTCCTCATATGTCTGTGTAGTCAATGTTAAGTGCTATAAATCGATCTAGTGTGCACTTCGATTTTAGCATTTATCATTCTGGTTCATATATTTAATTATCTCCTTCTTCCATATGTATACATAGTAAGAAGAGATCCTGAAGGACAGGACAAAGGTTCATTAACAAAATATTCCTAGTGCTTACTACCATGTCTATTAAGTAAATAAATAAAAAGATAAACATACTTCTTAAAGATTTTTAGTAGATTTAATTAAGGCCTCCTCCCACTAAATTTTATTCTGTGGTTCAAATCTTTTGAAATACATTTATATTCTAATTATTTTATCTCATACATTTGACTGTTTTCTGAGCGTTTTTTTCATGCATGGCCTTGAAAAGCTTTCTTTCTACATTTTTTTTCTAAAATACTTGTAAAAATACTGATCCTGAAATATGAAAGGAGAGCCTTGTTTTGCACACCTGGAAATTTCTGGCTGGAAATGTATTCCATTAGCAGTGAAATTACTTCGCGGTGAAAGATCAGGATTGTCTTCCTAAGAGTGCATTTCCACTTTTGTGGTTTCATCCTTAGGTGAGGCTGTAAGAAACACAAAGCGAAACAAAGAGGGATGCCAATGTTCATGATGTTCTTTGACTCTTGCAGCTCCTCAGGCAGTGCCAGTGTGGGGCAACCCTGCTATGCCTACATCCTCAGGCTTAGGAAGAAGCGTCAAGCTTTGCTCCCTAGACGAAACTAAAAGGATACGGAAAGAAAAGTCAACAGAGGTGCCATGCTCAGAACACAAGGATAGAGTGGGGTGAAAGATATACTTGAGGAGATTTTGAAATGCAGTGGCTTTTTATTAGAGTTGTTCTCAGTGGAGAATCGTACTTCTGCTTCCTTTACATAAAAAAAAAAAAAAAATTCCTTTATCCTAGAATCCCAGGTTTATAGAAAGAGTTCCTAATTAGATCCAATTCCTGGATAAATAACATCAACAATGGCAGCTATTGAATGTTCACTAAGAGTGGGCAGTGTCCTAAGCATTTTGTACGTGATAATACATAATGTTTAACCTTAAAAATAATCCATTTTAGAGAGATCTAGAAGCTGAGACATGGAGTTGTTAAATATTCTGCCCAAAGAAAACCAATAAAAATTAGAGCAGTTTTAGAATTCAGTCATTCTTGCTTTAGAGCTTGTGCATTTTTCAAAATCCTACCTATCAAGAACAATGAAGTCAGTAGCTCACCTGCCATCTGGGCCTTTGCAGTTTCTATGCCTATTCTCCAAGTAACACTCAATTCCGTTCCCCATTTTCAATGTACAGTCCATGGGATTTGGTATCCTGATAGGTCTAAGAAAGGGAAAACGGTCATAAACTTAGCAGGTTTATGAATATTAAGTTATAGAGAATAAGGCTACTCATCCAAACTGCATTTCCTACAGATTTATCCAATAATGGACAAGTCAAGTCGCACACGTCTTGCTCTCATTATCTGCAATGAAGAGTCTGACAGTCTTTCTAAAAGAGTGGGAGCTGAGGTTGACATCATAGGCATAACAATGCTGCTACAAAATCTGGGGTACAAGGTGGATGTGAAAAGAAATCTCACTGCTTCGGTAAAGTCTATTATACCATAGAGACAACGGTCACGCCCTTTGTGTAACTAAATAATATTAGAAAGTTTGATTGTAGGACCAAGGAATATAATCTTTTGATTATCTAAAATATAAACTTCCCATGAGAGGGTGCTGTATGCTGCATGTTCTCTTGAAACATCAGAGTCATTCAGCACGAGCCTGGTTTAACTTAGTGGTGAATTTTTTTTTTTTTTTAAACTCAGTAATGCCATGTTCTCTCTACAAGACAACTCTGAAAGACTTCCTACAACACGTTCCTCCACCTTTCTCGAAATTAAGACTGAAAGTTTTTTTTTGGCATTCCATTGTTTGTCATGAAATTCCTTAAAAACAGTTTCCGTACGGGTCTCTGAAAATGTATCTTTACCAACTCCAGGAGATTTTGAGGATGATGCTAGTAAGAAAGCCCACATAGAGAAGGATTTTATCGCTTTCTACTCTTCCACATCAGGCAACAAGTTTCTTCTACACAGAACATCTTTGTGGGGGTTATCGATGCAAAAGCTCACAACCACCCACTAGAGGGCAGATACGTGTGTGGAACTTTAGATAAGATTTTTGAACACAAACTAAAGCTTTGTTCCAAGTTATACACACAATTCCCTTTATCCGCAAAGAGCAAGTAAGCACTTCTTTTGACTGAGTTAGTAAATAATGAACTCTGTTGCAAAATATTTTAGAACTGTGAGCGATAACAGATAATTAAATGGAAGGCGATCTGTGCTGTAGTACATTAGAGTCTGATTCTACATAGAAAAGGTCCGCCATGTTGAAATCATTCAATGGACCAATTGGGCCCAACATCAAGTATTCACAGAAGGGTAGGAGCAGGGTTCAGAAAAGTAGACAGTAAGCGAGGCACTTTGGGCCCCTAAATTAAAATGGATTTTACCTAGAAGCATGAAGTATATAAAGCAGAATATATACACATTATTCTAAATGTATGCTTTGCAGTAAGAATCTTGCTATTCTTAACTGATCTAGTCATTTAGTACTTTGTAAACTAGCTCCACTAGTTCCTCCCTGGGTTTTCCTTGAATTGCTTACTAATATATATGAATATAAATATCGCTTTTTAAGGATTAAATAAATTAATATATGTGAAATATTGCACATGACAGAAAGAAGTACACTTTAAAGAACTGGTATTATTTAAAATGTTTTTATTTTAGAACTTAATCCAGTTACTTTTCTTAGCAAGGTTTAAATAAAAATGACTTGAATGCTTTTATCCACAGTGTATGGCAGTTTCCTGAGAGGACTCGCATTGTCTTGATCATTTCTGGCCCAAAGGCCCTGCCTCTGGTCAAGTAGTTAAATTTTCTAGAATAATTTGTATTATGAGATATCTTCTTTCAGAAGAAGTTTGGTTCTATACTGTCTTGAACATGCCCTGATGTAGGACTCAATATTTTTTTCAGTGATTAAAAAAAAAAAAAAAGACAAACACACAAAAAAATACATTTCCAGCCTGAGTACATATAGTAGACTATAACATTAGACAGAACTGATCTTTAATATCTTTTGGTCCCAGCCTTACACATGACATTCACGGCTCTCTATGTAGCTCTTTGTAAGCCCCTGGCTTCTCATCATCAATCTTGCTGATTTCTGTGTTTTTCTTTTATTTCACTTTTCTTTCTCCTCTTTGCCATGTAACTGTCAGAAACTCCAATTTAGTTGTTTATAACTCCCATATTAAGCCTAGCTCCACATTCTGCTGTGCAAATCCCAGCTATATCATAGTGCTCTCCTGAGGAAAAATAACTATCTACTTCCTTAATTTCACAAAACATTTGCAGAGACACCTGTTTCCACCCTATCTCTTACCTACTTCCTTCAACTAAGATAGCTGTGGTTCTAAATAGAATTTTATTATTAATATACATTTTATGACCATTATAATTGGCTGAAATGTGTCATTAAAGAATGTGTTTGTGATTATACACAGAGCTATTGCTACTGCTTTTCTCTTACCCCTTCCTTTGTATAATTTTCACATGTCTTCATTATTTCTATGTCTACCATGTAATAAATTAATGTTGTTTTCTTTAATATTTCTCTTCTTCATAAGAACTTCTTATTCTCCATTATGATGTTATCATCCTTTTATTGACTTTTCCCAGATAGCTACTTTTGTTCTGTTTTGTGACTTTTATGGTTAACTCTTTGGGTGTAAATATCTTACAGTCAATGTTATTAAATTTTAATTAAAGTTTTATGTGAAGTGCATAAATTGAGAATTTATTAACATAATTACCCTGTATAGACTGAGTATTACATACCCTTAGTTAGCTCGGACACTACTGTAGATTCAGATATCTCCTGTGTATGAAATTGTTACCATTCCCCGTATAGCTGAGTCTATTACATATTAGAACGGACAATTAACTTAAATCACAGTCAGTAACTCCACGTTGGGGATGCACATTTAGATATTTATTTCTAAAATCCCAATTCCTTCTCTTTACCGCATTCTGCCTTTTTCTAACTCTCTACTAAATTTATGACTGTAACTCTGGGACTATGTGATGTTAATACCTGCACCATATACAGCACTATTTAGAGTATCAGTAAAAATATACTCACTGAACTTCAAATGTATTCACTAAAAAATACAATGAAGTGTACGGAAAATAGATGAATTCCAAAATATGCCAGGAGCAGAAATACTAGGGTTTCTTGTCTTTCTTCAGGCAAGAGTCAATCTTGAGATTTGAAATGTGCTTTATCAACAGATAATATTTGTTGGGGACATCCCGCAAAGGGCTGTTTTTATTATGAGACTGCTTGAACATCTACAAGAATATGCCCGTTCCTGTGATGTGGAGGAAATTTTCCACAGGTAGGGCTCTAGTGATTGGTATTTTCACTCTACTTCCCCGAATGCTTGCCTATTGCAATTGGAAGCATAGAAAGTAGATACAGACATGTTTATCTTCTAATAATGCCCTTCTTTCCAAAAAAGTTTCGAAGTTCTTTGGAGAGTGAAGAAGCCTGGGAGCCAGATCCAATCTGTTAAGCCCAACAGCCTCAATAAAACAATCATTTAGTTTCACCCACCTCCTGCCCTGCAGAGACAAATGAATGGACTCTAATTTTCCTGTGTCCCTCATGGGTATTAGATCCAACCACAGATTTAAAAAGTCCTGAGGAGAGTGATTCAATGCTTAGATAACCACATGGCTATACTTGTTACAGATACAAGTACTTTTTGTTTTCGTAACTTACTTTGCTATATTTGTTGTAGTCTTTTTGGTCAATAATCTTTTCAGAAAAACAAGTCTCCGGACTGTCTTTTCTCTTTTAGGTTCGACTTTCATTTGAGCAGCCAGATGCCCAGCACTGAAAGGGTTACTTCGACAAGATGTTTCTACCTCTTCCCAGGACATTAAATAAGGAAGCTGTATGAATGTCTTTGGGTAGTTATGTGTATATGGTCGGGAGTGTGGGAAGGTTGAGGAAAGTGTACTGAACGCCCATTTTAGTCAAGGACTCTAGGTCTACAGGTTGAGAATTTTTAATCCAAAAATTTGAACTTTGAAATGTTCTAAAATCCAAAACTGTGTGAGTGCCCACATGATATTCAAAGGAAATGCTTATGGAAGTGTTTCAGATTTTTGTTTTTTGGAATAAGGATGCTAAACTAGTAAGTATAATGCAGATATTCCAATATACAAAAATATCTGAAATTCAAACTACTTCAGGTAGCATGTATTTTGGATAAGGGAAATCAAGCCATAGCATAATATACAGAAAATACTGAAGTAATGCCTTTCTACTGGTCAGTGCAGAGCATGTTGCTCTTCTCCCAAGGTTTTTCTTTTTTTTTCTTTTAGACCCTTTCTGAGGGTCACTTAAAAGTGGCCGTAAGTCTATGAAGGCTGACTCTTAGATGTTTCTCCCCTTAACCTCAGCAGGATAAGATTTTAAAATAGTATGTGGCCTTTCCTTTTAAGATTGCATATGTTCCTATTGGTGGTATAACTTTATAACTTACATTTCTTTTAGCAAAATTCTCTTTTATGTTTTTTTTTTCCCCCATAGGAAACCAAGAGTTCTTTCATTCTGTAATAGTTTTTGGAATTATATCTGCTTAATAATAGACTTCTTTGAACATTTTCATAAATCTGATATAAAAGTAAAAACATGTCCTCAGTTTTATTCCACATTGGAGAAACAAAGGTTGGAAATCAAAGGGAGTACTGAGTTTAGAATGTTAGACTTAATCCATAAGACCTAAACTGGCTATTGGCACCATTTTTCCATTCAAAATACCATTTGCTGCTGGGTTGCAGACACAAATTACAAATTAGGGATGCAGATAAAAATTACCACAGGTACCGGACTTCAAAAAATTTAGAGCTCAGCAGGAGACAGGGACAGAAGATGAATAGTTATGACAGTGACGCTGCAGTGTGATAAGGGACTTTTCCCAAATCCCACAGTTTACTGCTGACAAATCCATGAACAGAACCTGCAGATTTCTACTCTTTGTTAAGGTATTTAAGAGAGAGAAAGTAAATTTTGAATTAACTCTAGACCCTCAGTAGTCTACAGACTTCTTGAAAAGGTAAGACGGCCATCAAAAATGAAACACTTGGCAGATGGTGCATGACACCCTGAAGAAACTCTAGGATGCATGGTGTACACAGTGAAGCCCCTGTATGGTGCAGAGAAAATGAGTTTGGGGTGAAATCACTCATTCAGGGATGTCAAGATTTAGGAAGGATTGGAAGAACCACCCTTTCACCTGCAGATATGAGCCTTTTCTAATCTTTATCCTATTAAATCAAAGTGAATATCTGACCTTTTAAAAACCTTTATAGTTGAACACATTACAATCCCTTTTTTTTTTTTTTTGGCCTTTTATTAACTGTTTGCCTGGGTGTATCTTTTCTGTACTATCGTGAATGTTTTACTACAACCTAAGACTACATCTGTGATCAATCTTTGCTTCGAGAATATCAAAAAGTAGAAGTAAATTGTCACCCTCAGTAAAAATTAACTGTTAAGGCAATCTTAAGCACTTGAAGGAAAGCATTCCAGGGAGTAAGGGGGTTCAGAACCCTCTCTAATCAAAGGGTAAGATTACAGGGAGATGTAGAGGGGAGGTA